ATATATATGGTAAGTTCAAAATGTAGAGAAAACATGGAAAAAATAACAGAACAATGAAAAAAGGGGGGGAAAGAAAAATAATAATAAAAATACACTGAGAAAACAAGAAACTGAGGGGGGAAAATCCGAAAAAAAGGAAAAAAATGAATACAAATTCGGAAAATAAAGGATATAATCCTTTCATCAGCTCACACGATTATATCCTCGAAAAAGGAGTGCTTTCGAATATAGCCAAAGCAAAATATATCAATACAATATTGTGAGAAGCACTCAAAAAAGTTTTACAAAAAATTACAACAAATAAAATATGACAATTTCCTTAAAGATAATTTTAAAAAAAGCACTAAAATACATTTACGATTCTAAAAAGGTTATGTTATAAAAAATTGTAAATTTGGTTGAATACTTGAGATTATTCTTTAAGATATAATACTATAGGCATGAGGAGAAAAAAATTCTGGTAAAATTACCTAACTATGCGGTAAGGACATTTTTGGTTTAAAAATAAAAAAAAACTAACTCGGTTAATAAAACCAAAAATATACGGCATTTGAGCCATTCAGTTGGTAATTTTTCCGTTCATACGGTTACGGTTTACCAGAAACTCTGGTTCTTATTACCACATAGTTAGTAATTAATACGAAACTGATAAGTTAATTCAATCGAATAAATGGTTCTCATGCCAAGCTCTAAGGTAGCATGATAAAATTACCTTATTTTACCACATTTACTAAATTTTATAACATATTATAAAACCATATTTTATTGTTAATTTTATCCAAAATTATTACCGAAACGCTTCTTTAAAAATTATCAAGCTTTTTGGTGTTCCCATAGAGCTAGAAACACGGCACATTTTACCATATTCGGGTAGTTTTGACTGTGTAAAGAAAAAGCTGTATGAGGCTGGATTAAATGATTTTGCCTTTGCAATTGTGAATTATCTTAAAGATATAATCCTATAAGTATCTTTCATTTGAAAAATTTGCAGTTTTTGTAGTGAAATTTAAGAATTTCTAAAGACATAATCCTAAAATGGCACTATTCTGAGAAAATATGCATAAAAAAATTACTGTTTTAGTTCGATAATTGAGAATATTCTTAAAGAAATACATTATCCTAAAAGCATTATTCAAAAAAAAAAAAAAAAAAAGATATATGTTTGAAAAGGTATTGAGAGAAAGATCTCTATTTGGTCTTAACATTCAAGAATTTTTTCAAAGATATAATTTTTTAAAAAATTCTTGTTTAAAAATATATATAAAGATCTAAGAGGTTGTTCGTTGGATATTGGCAATTGAATAATTTTTTAAAGACGTTTCTAAGCAAAACACTAATTTGCAAATACAAATTTTTGGGATTCTGGAAGAGGTATGAAAAATTATTTATTTAGTTCGATAAGTTAAGAAATAATCCCAAAGATATTATTTAAAAATGATATATTATGATACAAAGATATCAAGAAAAAGATTTTATTTCGGTCTCAGCAAATGTGATTTTTCTTAAGGATATAATCATATAAATATTTTCTATTTAAAAACAATATGATATTGAAAAAGATTTAAAACAGCGCTGTTTTTTCGGAACAGACAATTGAGAATTTCCGTAAAGACAATCTTTAAAAAAGCAATCATTAGAAGAAATACATATACGATTCTAAAAATCTTCATTTTGGCTCAATTCTTGAGAATATTCCTAAAAATCTAATACTACAGTTTTTATTATTTAAAAAAATATATATGATGCCGGAAAAATATTTAAAAAAAGTTCTAATATTAGTCTTTGCAACTTAAAAGATATTAAAAAGATATAATCCTATAAAAACTTCCCATTAAAAACATTTATTCCTGGAAAAGGAATTGATTAATGTTGTTGTTTTTGTATTAATATTTAAGATTATTTTTAAAAAAAACATAATTCTGAAAGATATTATATGAAATTTAATATGATTCTGAAAGAGATATAAAACAATTATCGTTTTTGTTCGATACTTGAGAATATTCTTAATGATATTATCCTAAAAGCATAATTAAAAAAAAGATACTTGCTGGAAAAGGTATTAAAATCTTTCTTAATTTGTTATTAGCATTCGAAAATTTATTTAAAGATATAATCCTACAAATATTTATTATTTAGAATAAAATATGTTTCTGAAAAAAATGCAAGAAAACGTTGTTCTTTGGGAACCGACAATTACGAATGCTCATAAAAACACTCCCAAAAAATCACTAAATGAATTACATATATATGAATGTTTAATAGTTAGATAGTTGAGAATAGTTTTAATTATACAATACTAATAGTACTAAAAGTATTTTTTAATAAAAAAGGATGCATCAAGCATGCAATATCAACTAATTGTAGGTATGGAATGATTGATTCTTACCAAACTATTATGTCTTTGTAACGTTCTAATAATCTTCCCATAAGGGTTCGAATCGTCTTCGTGGTACATTTGGCTCCTCTGAAACCGGTTCGGAGGCTGAATTGTGGATATGGCATATAACTGACTAGCAGATGCTGACAGCTGTGGCGATGATAGTTGCATAGTCGATTCGGACGGCTGTGGAAAAAAAATCGTTAAAAGGAGTGCATATTTTTAAATTTCAACATTTTAAAATTATATTATTGTTAAAACAATACTCTCATTGGAAAGAGGGGATACGACTCAAAGATAAAGTGATAACTTCTTATACAAGCTACCCCTGATTACTACTCGCACTAACCACAATACTAACTTGCCATACAACATAAGCAGTGATTAATAAATAATGGGTTAGAGTCTCATCGTCGATGGGCTAACCATGTTAAGTTTTCGTGAATACCTATTTTATAAAACGCAAATGAGAATTACTTAATTTTGATATGGATTTTCTACAGAGGCAACTTTACCCCGAATTTTTATTAGGAATTTCCCCACCTTCGAAGTTGGGTAAAAAATTGCAGTTGAATGGGGCTATTGTCTCATATTCAAAAAGTTTCCAGTTTGTTCGGATACAGATAGTGTCAAAACATTAACAAAAAAAAACTTCACCGGCAGTGAAAGATTTTTGGGAAAAAAAAGGAAAAACTATACGAACTCTAAAGTTAATTTCATCAAATGCGTTATTTTCGTTAGTGTCGAACGAAAAATGTATGTAATGAAAATAAGCTTCAGGGTCGACGACTGAGCTGGTACACATCTAATAAGTGTTTCATCACAAAAGCATTACAACTCTTGTACATTATAGCTGTGTACGGCTATTGCGGTGTTTTTGAAGACGGTCAGCATCCACGATCTTCAGTTTTTAACTGTTAAATTTCCGTATAAAATTAAAGTAAAAACTACTAGCACCTGAGTGGCCATACTTTTTACCCTAAAATTTTAGGGAACAAAAAGCATATACCGTAATTTTTACCACGGCTAAAGAGAATAGAAGGGCTGGTTCACTCCTTTGAAGTAGCTCTCGCCGCGCCAATCCTCCGATTTTCTCTAGTGACGTCACTTCGGCGCAAAGCTCGCACTTTTACTTCAAGAACGGAGCGTTCGGCCTTACTAGCTCTAACTAATATTGGAGCATTTCTTTTTGCGAGATATTCTAAGACATTTGTTATTTTCTATAATGACTTTCCTCAGTTTTTGCAGTGAATTTACAAGAATTTAAAACTATTATCGAAATGCCAGTTTGCGCGATTGCAACTTGCAAAAATTCTGATATAAAAACAAAAGGAAAAAGTATAATTTTTCGCGTGTTCCCTAAAGTAAATGAACAACTATGTAAAGAATGGATTCCGAAATGACACAGTTAATATAAAACCGCAATACGTTTATTCTGTCGTAAAGAACTTTTATAAAAATTCATTATCTAAATAGAAACCGCCTCGCTACTTCATAAAGAAAGGCAGGTGAAAAGAATTAAAAAATAGATAAAGTCAAAGAAAATTAAAATGTAAGTAAAAAGTATAAATAAAATATATAGTATATAGTTGAAATTCTCCTAATTTCATAACATATTTTTTAATGTAGTTATTCTAAATATTTATGATTTTTTTTAAAAATTATATTCTCTTCAATTTAAATATCTATATATTATATCATCGTAAATTTAAATGTCTATAAACAATTGTAAAATTTCTGATGTCATTATGAACCTAAATTATTATTTTGTTTCAGTAATTAGCGTTTAAGGTTGATGTTTCCTAATGATTAAGTATGAACAAATTGCTATTAACGACATATTTTAAAATCAGGGATTCTAAATTTAACTTAACTTATCTTTATAAAAGAATATGTAGATAAAAAAAGTGTCGATATATGCCTTCATTTTTCTTAATAGTTAAAGTTAAAACTGAACTTTTTAAAATAAAGTATTTATCGTGTCATTTTCACCAACTAGCAAAACATTTTTATAAGTTTAAAATGGTATTTTTTTAATATAATAACCAAGAAAGTTTTTTTTGAACTATGTTTATGAACGGAAATAATGTGTTAATTACGTAAAGTTTGAAGGCTAATAACCAGAAAAAGTCTAACTTATTTTTACAAAGAGAAAGATGCAAAGTTATCACAATATCTTTGCTTGCGATCTCCGAGATCTGTGGACACAGTGACGTCATGAGGAGGGAAATCGTAGCTTCAGCTCTAAGAGCGGAGTGAACTAGCCCTTCTATTCTCTTTAGCCCTGAATTTTTACAGCTATATTTATTGAATCCCTGTAATTAAATGAATAGTACTGTAAAAATTACTGCGTAAAATTTTACAGTAAAAATGGATTTTGCAGGTGCTATACTCAGGGTGCCAGGATTTCTTACCGGAATTTTTTACAGTACAGGTGTGATTAGACACGTCAAGCGGGTTTATCTTTAGACGTTTACACTTTTGGAGTTCGACGAAATATAATATTGAGAATATTTTCTCCAAGCATAATGCTCTTATTTATGATTGCAGCAAATGTATATAGTTTTATGGCTTAGGTTCAAAATATCGATTGAACGTTAAACCGATTGGACGTTAAACAGATTGAACGTTAAACTGATTGTCCTTTTTAATTAGTTGAACATTAAACCGATTTTTGTATTGAAAAGAAACTAATCAATATTTATAAAAAAAAATCATAATAAAGACATTTTCCTTTTACCGAGGACAATAAAACTTTTTTCATCTTACATTAAATAGAATTATTGAAGAAAAAAAAATTCCGAAAGATATTAGCGATATAATTTAAAACAAGGTTAGTTTGCATTAAAATTAACTTCTTTTTTTACATTTTAAATTAAGTTTCAATTTTTTATTTTCGCTTTTACAAAAATTACGATTCCTCCCTCTTAGCGTCTCCTGAAATATCCGACATATCGGGTTACTTAAATACATTTAATTCAATAGATATAAAGCAATACTAATTCTAACTCTAGACGTTATTTTATGATCTCCCTGCATTATATTGTCTGGAATGTATTTTCATCTTCAATTCAAAGCAGAAAAGAATTTGAAATCTGAGACAAAACAATGAAATCTTGACTAAAAATATTTGCCAATGATAACTAATACCTTAGTGATTAAAAGATTAAAGTGATGTTCGGTCTTTCGGCATTTAATCAGCTTAAAACTTTTATAGCTTCTTTGAAACTTCAATACTTTCTCTTAGAAAGACTTAAAAAAAAGACACACAAATTCCCTTTCAGTTATTAGGGATAAAACGCAATAACCTTAGAAACTTAGCTAACAAGATAGGGATAAATAAAAACATGGTTTCCCCTTTCCCTCGACAGCTGCTGTACAAGGTCAGCTTCGGTTTATAGGAAAAAAATGATAAATCCCTGAAATAAATTAAACCACCATAATAAAATCTCTTTTTGTGCATCCAAAACCGTGTGAGGATACTGAAATTTGAACAAAGGGTGCGAGAGGCAATTTTAGCAATATCTTACAAAAATGTTTCAACAATTTTCAACTAGTTTAATAATGTTAAACTTTTTTTTTAAAAAAAAAGATTTTTCGATATTTTTGCTCGGTGGTACCAGTTGCGAAGCGTCCTATAGTTTGTCTACGGTAAGAACTCCCCCGGCACAAAGGCTGATCTGTCCTGCTGCTATGGCAATAAGAATAGTGCATTTCACGGAGGGTAGCTTCTCTTCACTCTAGGGCTAACACAGTAGGCCGAAGAAAAACATTCCCTTTCTCTCGCCCGAGCCGAAACCTGTCCTAAACAGTGACCCCAAACCCCAACTTGAAACAGTTATACCTCGCTACCATAGTCATCGCTACGGGTCCAGACGAGTGGCTAGGGGAGTTCTTACTTTAGACAAACTATAATTTATTTTACTATCGTCAAAGTCACGCATTAATTTTGCAAAAAAATGTTTTCGGCTCCGGCAGTGTGGAAATACTTGTTGAACCACCAATAGATGGCAGCGTTTATTGTTAATTAAATTGTAACCGTAACTGTAAAAAGATCTTGTTAAATAAAGAGACATCTACGCTTTTTGAAAGTAGTAGTTGCTGTAGCTGTAGTAGCCTTTTGTCCTGTATATCTCATGTTATAATATATTTTTGTTGTTACTTACCCCTTTGTAGCTATTGAGTAGTTTTCCTGTTTCTCAAGAAAACGAGAAAAATGATAATATAATGTGAATAAATTCACTAATAGTTTAGATAAATCTTCGGTGTATTTCATAACCCATTAGAAGTAATTAAACTCAAAAAGAGAAAGGCAGATTAATTTGTAAAAACATTTTACTGATTTTCTCACACAAATCATACAAGAATCTATAATAAATATAATAAACTAGAATCTATAATAAATATATGATATAAATATATGATTATATTGACAATATTATAATTTCATTTATTGTAAGCAAAAATTAATTTTTCTATCTTTCTGTATGAAGCAAAGGAAACATGCATTTTTCATCATTCTTAACTCCACTCTCTAGAAGTAGGAATCATTCTCAAAGTCGTTGCAACGTCTTTTCTTAAAAATTTCGATGTAGAGAAATGTTCAAACAGAAAAATAAATCTTACATCAATTTCAACGACAGAGATGCATAATTTTATTTGCTTTGTTCATTGTGGTAATTATTATTTATCTACTTTTCATATTTTATAGGCCAGAAAAAGTTTGCGCCAGTTTCATTGTCGATTCCATCCATGAAAAAGAATAATCAAACTAATTTCATTCAAACGAATCAAATTACTTAAGTGACTCCAGAATCATTTATTCGATTTGAATGATCCATATTAACCTATTTAAATCATTATTTTCGAACCAATAAATTAAATCGCAATATTTGATTCGACTGATCTTAAAACATTTGATTCAGATAAAAAAGATTCAAATCATCAAACTCTATTAAAATAGGTTAAATAGCCATGGTTCACATCAAAATTCTAAATGCTCATAGATTCGAATAACTAATTCAAATAAACTCATTAGATTTGCTGTAGATCCAAATCATTCTGACACAATATTTTCAAATGTTGTTGACGTATGCCTGTTTAGGCAGGGGGTGCGATTGTTCTTGTTTCCCAGTGGCGCCATCTATGGCCAAGAATATTTTCAAATGATTACAATTAATGAAACTCGGTCAGTCAGTTTATTCATCGTTTGTTTAGTATCAGCTGATATAATTCAGTAAGTTTGAATAGGCAGATTCGAACCACCGAAATCAAATTCATAACGAAAGAGATATTCATAATAAATAATCCCAAGAAACTGAAGCGGAAAATGTATACTTGTTCATGTAAAAACTATAGTTGTTTCAAAATTATAATGGTTAAGAAAAAAAAAAGAGTTAAGAGGCTTAGCGGTCAAAAATAGGCTCCCATTTTCAAGATTCACCTAACGTGAATAAAGAAAACAAAATAGATTTGAAAAAGAAAACACAAAATTTTAACAAAAAAATGGAAAATAAATTTAAAAACCAAACTCAAGAAACTGCGGTAGCCGAGATGTAAAGATCTGATTTGCTTTACATCTGCCGCAGTTCAGTTTTGTTTTTCTCTTTTATTTTATTTTCCATCTTTTCGTAGACAATTTAACGTTTTCTTTTGTCGCTCGAAATATGTCGACTTTTTTTTAGCTTTATAATTTGTACATTAATAACTGTAAAGATAAATCTATTATATTTACTTAATGATTTTATAAACTAATGAAAGCAAATATTAATAATTCATTTTCGCTTTAATTTTTTTAAACATAAGTTCTTTAAAAAATTAATTTCAAGAATTTGACAAAATCGCAATTTACTTTTCGAATTTGTGGCGGTACGTGTTAGGAAACGAAATGTGTGTGTTGGGCGAAGAAAACTTTTCAGCAAAAAAAGAAAAATACATCTCAGTAATTTCAACAATTTCTAGAAAAAAGAAATTTCTGTGATCTTTCAATAAACTTTAAAAAAAAAGTTTGCTTTTTAACTTTATTCCTTACAAATATATGAATGAATTTTTTTTTTTAAATAGAGAAGTACATTTTTATTTTCTTTCTCAAATCTCTCAATTTCGAATCACGTTGCAGCAAAAATGTTCAACTTGCATTTACCTTTCTTGTATGTTTCGAATTTTTATAAAAATAAAAACATTTTTTTGAAAGACGGAAAGAAGCAAGAAGAAATATGATACAATTCAATAACAAATTTTAAATCATGGCACGTTTTGATAAGTCACGTGATAGCTTACACGAAGACTACAAATTTCTGAATCAATTTTCAGGTAAACAATTTTTATCTTTTTTGGATAGACTAACAAGAGATTGAAAAGTAAACTAACTTTTCTAAATATTTCCTTCTTTAGCACATTTTCATAGATTCTATTCAAAAATATTTTTGACGTTCTTACAGAAAATGTGTTACTAAACAAAATTGAATTTAAATATGAAACTGTAGACACATTAAAAATTCGATTTTCTTAAATTAATATACTGGGATAATAAATTAATATACTGGGACTAAATTAACAACTGGAATACTACGTTTTCCAGTTGTTCATAGCAATATTTTTTCAACCTGCAGGCGACGTCACGTGTGTGTGTCTAAGCTGATTGGCTGACCTACGCGTGACGTCATTCGCAGATACTCAATTGTATCGTTCATATGCAAAACTGGCCATCTTATCAAATTTTAGAAATTCCCTTTTATTTTATTTATTTATTTATTTAATTATTAGTCTTTAACCTCTAAATAAACTTTTCCATTAACTGTATATAAGAAATCATAGCATGTTGAAAAAATCCACGTTTTCAACGCTTTTGAAAATCACGTTTTGCTCAAAACCGGTCATCTCCATATTAGTTTCTTGTCACTTTTGATTAAGAATGTTGTTTTTATCTGTCATTTAGCATTATAACTTGTTATTGCTTGTTGATAGAACGCTGTCTTAATACTTCTTAAATACTTCTTAATACTTCTTGTTGTTGTTGTTGTTAATTTACGTCGCACTAAAGCTGCACAATGGGCTATTGGCGACGGTCTGGACAACATCCTGGAGGATGATCCGAAGACATGCCATCACAATTTTGATCCTCTGCGGAGGGGATGGCACCCCCGCTTCGGTAGCCCGACGACCTGCGCGCGAAGTCGAGCACTTTACGGTAGCACAGTTTAACGAGGACCAATACCGCACACCCTCGGTCCCTACGCAGACTGATCCAAGTGGTCACCCACCCGCACACTGACCGCAGCCAGTGATGCTTGACTTCGGTGATCTGCTGGGAACCGTGTCTTAACGATCAGTCCACTGCGGGACTGAAGAGTTTTGGAATGCCATTTTTTCTTGAAAATTGCATGGTCTTAGGGTCTCTCTAGGCTCTAACTTTATATGCAAACGATATTTTAAGTTTAAAAGCTCAGATAAACGAAAAAGAACTTTCTTAGAATTAACACACTTTTTTCTACCATGAATTCCGATATATGAGCCTCAACATATGGTGGATAGGCGCAATATGAGAAATATGGGACCAGTCATTTATTTAGCAGAGCGGTCGAAAATTCCGTTGTTATTTTTTATGTTATTTAGATGTTCCCCTTTACGTTATTTTCGTTTTCTGTGTCTTTCATAATATGTACAACATAATTTAAACGAATCACAACCAACTATAAAATTATAACCATCAACTATTCATTGATCCGAAGAAAAATTTATTTAAAAAAAAGTAATTCATAATAATTTATGTTAAAAATAATGTCTTAAAATTTTTGAAATCTAAGTTAATTAATTTATTTAATTTAATAAAGTCATTTTGAGATTTAATGTTCACAGATTTTTATCTCAATTTAAATTATCGGAGCATAAATGACAAATTCTAAAAGTTAAACAAAATCGATCAAATATTTCTTGAAAAATTAAATGAAAAAAAAAAAGTTTTTTTAAATTTTAATAATCGGAAACTTTTGTGACGATGCCGTTTATTTTGTCATTGAAAATTAGATATTTGAAACTAAGGTTACAATTCAGGAATGTTACTCTTTCCTTATTAAACTAGTGAGACACATTTTCCAGATTAAATAACGTTTGCGCAAATTAATTAGCATACTTAAAGTGAATCTCTCAAACCATTACGATTGTATCGTAGAGCATAAAAGTGCAAGAATTAGAAGAAAAAAAACATAGTATGGCGTCTCGTTTACTGTTATTAGTAACATTCTGAAGAAAAAAAATTAGAGCTAAATGAGAGTGACAGATAATAAAATATAAAGCAATTATTATAAATTACTAATAAATTAGTTCTGCAAAAGCATATTTTTTATAAATTCCGATTTAATACTGTTTTCTGAAAAATTTAATCAAAATATTTATTTTTATTTCGAAGGATTAATTATAAATTTAGAATATAAGGATAAATTTAATTTTAATCATGTGCTTTTCCGTTTCCTTGGGGAAAATAATGCACGTTTTACTCTATTTAAATTTTAATTATTGAAATTTATTAAAATGTTTTTTAAACTTTTTTGTTTCTACAACTTAAATTTAAGTATTTAAAACCATAAATGGTAAACAATAAATCTATTTTTATTTTAACAAAAAGAATGTGTGTTTTATAAATTGTTTTTTAGCATAAGAAGCTTATTTTTTTAGCATTTTTCAATAAACGAAAAACAAAGAAATGAAAAAGAATCATCCAAAAAACGAATTTCAATTACATTTTTTACTGAAATGAATGTAACATTAATTAAGTTCTACTCGACTAATATTTTCTAATTATTTAAATTGTTTTAATTACTGTATAAGAATTTTTAATAACTCGTATATTTGATAAGATATTTATTTATTTATTGAAAAAACGTTTAATGTTTTTGCATCTCTTTAAGCAAGCCATTAATTTAAAAACATAAATCGTGGATTTAAACGACAGTTAGTAATGACACTGCAAAATGTATTTATATTTATAATTTTCCTATCAATTATAGAAAGAGGTAAGGAAGTGATTCTAGCGCCATCTATTGGTAGAATTGGAAACAATATTTCTTTAATAGGGAAAGGTTGTCTTTAAAAATAATTTCGATTATTCTGTTAATTATAACTTTTCTTCAATACACCACTCAAAATTAAGGTGTTAATTGCTTAAATGCCTCTATGTATAGATATAAAAAGGTATCAATACTTATTTATAATATTCGGTAAAATTTATAGCACTCGATCTCCATACATTATAGAACGTAAGAGATGAAAATAAACTTTTTCTTAAAAAATCGAAATAGCTTATTATTTAAACAAATATATTGACATCTTATTTCCAACTGTTTTATAATATGATTTTTATTGTTATAATAATATGTTAAATAACTGCAAAACTGAAATCTAAAATAATATACAATTTTATGGTAAAATAATTAATGCACGTTTTTAATGGTAAAATAAATAAAAACAAATTTTGGTATTTCATAATCGCGATTTGATATATGATTGCAAATTAGTATTTAATCATACATTATTAGCAATTGATGGATGATTTAATGACTATCCTTAATACGATTCCTTTTTATCAATTAATCGCACAAAAACCGTATCGAATATAATAACAAATTTATAATTTGTGAAGGATTTGAAATTTTACTGATCTCTAGAAAAGTTTCCAAAGATGTATTTCTGATTTGAATAGGTTTAAAATTCCTTAATGAATAATTAGATTAATTATTTCACTAGATATAATTTCACGAAAATTTTCACATTTGCGCTTGCTGTTAAATTATAAAAAAACATTTTTGTAAAAAAGAAAAAGAAAAAAAAATCAGTTTTTTTCCTTAAGATTTCACATTGGTAAACCTTCACAAAAAAAATAATAATAATAAAATTTAGTTTGTTTTCTTACCACGTATGTACTTCCGAGGGGACTTGTGGGTCCCCATCTCACGTGATCAGCCATTGTCTGAAGCCTATATCCAGCGTGCTTTGCAGCTTCTGATTTCTGATGAGCACGTTTCCATCGCCGGCTAAAATTGAAAGTAAATAAATAAGCTATAATATATAATTTATGAGCCATGCTCTAAGTCATCAGAGAGGAGCACTGAACTAATTAGAAGATTTGTGTTGTCTTTCAATTAACATTCTAAATTAAAAATTTTCCGGCAAATTATTCGTTCAACATTAAAACTTAATTTTTAAACATAAATATTTTTGTAAGATACAGAGTAGAGTCAATGGAAACCAGTACAGTCTACAATAAAAATCTTAAAGTGAAATGAGAATATTTTGCTCTCATCATTTAAAATACTCATCTATACACAAGCATTTTTTGTAAGTAAATTTTTTTTCCTTCCACAGACTTTGTTAAAAAAACAAAGCGACAACGTTTCTTTAAAACAAAAATTCGCCTTAGAATAAGCAAAAAAAAATTATTATGATTTTAATGCCATGCTCTAAGGCATCATGAAAAAATTATCAAATTTTACATTTATAAAAATTTTATCGCATATTATAAAACCATACTTTATATTATAATATACCATATTGTATATTGTAAAACCATACTTTATAATATACCATATTGTATATTATAAAACCACATTTTAATTTTACCAAAATCATCACCAAAGAGCTTAGGTAAAAATTGCCGAGTTTTTTGGTGTTCTCATAGAGCCAGAAATACGGTAAATTTACCATATTCTTGCAGTTTTGTCCACATTTTTTTCTCAGTATAAGGTTCACTGCCAGTACGAGATAACAACTTATTCTTTATTAATACTTTGTTAGAAAAAATCATAAACATAGTTTCAAGAATTTACAGGGTGTTCTGTTATCCCCACCTTTGTTAAAAGTATTAATAATTTTAGGAATGTTGCCAATATTAGAAATTTTGTCAAAAATGAAGTACGCATATATCAGCAGAATCATTATTGTGGCGGGTGGGATTGAAAACAAAAAAATTCGTTTGATTAAAGCACAAAGCTTCAAAGTGTTTCTATTGTTTGCCTTTCACTTTCGTTCGGTTTCTCCTGGCAAACTAACTGGTTTTAATGGCCGGCCTTCTTCCATTCATTAGATTTTGATATGCTTTTGCTTTCTCGTTTAAATATTCAGTAGATTTAGTTCGAAAACGTAGAGAAAATATACTCCGAAACGAGTACACAAAAACAACAAACATTCCTTTTGAAAGCTAATTTCTATGATTGGCGAAAAAAACTAACATATAATTCATAAATGGAAATATTGATCAATGTTTGACATTTCGTGAGGATTTCAGAGCTCTTTCTGATTCGAGTTTTGTCAGCACATGTTCCACTTGTCAACGTGACCCTAATTGATATCTCTATATTTTATATGGGTATTATAGCAAACTTGAAAAAGCTATCAAAGAAGATAGATCTATTATGTTAAAAACTCCCTGACCTAGAAAAGGTAATTGTCTCACGAAACGCAATTGCTTTTTTTTCTCTTTTTGTTCAGAGAAAAAAATTACATACTTATCTTTTTTTTTCGTTTATTTTTACATGCTTGAAAAGGAAAAATGTTAAATTAATATTTTTGACACCACACATCTCGAAAAATTCAGAGCATAAAAACATGGTTGTTCTTTTTTCTCGTCGAGTTAAAAATTAAAACATTTTAACTATTGAAAGAATTTAAAATTTCTGATATCGATTAAGGCTAATTAGGATAAAGGTTTTGATATCGATTGTTAGAAAGTCCGTAGTACGTAATTTTTTTACCCACTGGGAAAATCGGTGTTGTTCTAGGCTTTTTATTTTTCTACCTTTTTCGATTAGATCAACAGCAACACCATAATCACAAATAAAGAATTGTAAAAGTCATAAAAAATCAGTCTAACATAAGTATTAATGAAAAAGCAGCACAAAAAGATCAACTAAGAAAAAGCAGATGATGATGATTGGATACTTGCAACTCGCGAAGAAATAACGGGATTATGCATGTAATTTAAATCAGATTTAATTAGATACCTGTAAGCGACGTCACGCGCGTGTGCCGATACTGATTGTCTTTTGATTCGACAAATGCAATCTTTTACCTATGATGACGTCACTTACACACATCGAAAGGGATACCTGTAAGTGACGTAGAGTACGCGTCTCGATCCTGATTTGTTGTTGAAACATGGCATTTGTTTACTCTAGCAATAATTTTTTTTCCATTCTATTTCAAGCAAGCGAAGCCAGTCAAGTATCAATTCTCTTAAAGGACGCATTCTATATTCTTTTACATTGATTCTTTCTCAAACATTTCAATTCTTTCACTACATATTTCTTACTTAACACAAAGACAGGCACGAATTAACTTCAACGTTAATTATTCTAACTTATGTGTAGAAACTTAGCTCAACTTTAACTCGCCATTTCGCTTATAAACCATCACCTGGCGCTGACGCATTTTGTAGCTTCTTAAGATGCATACATTGGCTGGAATTGAAAACCAATCCAGCCCATTGGACTTCTAGAGGACAAATATTAATTTTGTGAAATTTATAAATGTCTATCCAAAAATATAAAAAAGATATTTAATCAATGAGTAAATAGAGATAGCAATAATATAATCACAGTTATCCCTTTTTTGTAATAAGCCGTATTTTATTTAGAACTGCTGTGAGTTTGTATCCAACAGCTTTTCATTAAAAATTACACTGGGGAACAGTTTTTGTTTTTTTGTTCTGTGAGTTTTTTTTTTTAACAGATCCTAAATACTTTTGTATCACTGATTTCAAATCAACAATTGGTTTCTCCTTTCAAGCTACAGCCAAGATTTAAACTCAGAAATTAGTTTTACTACGGCAGTTAAAAAAAAAATAATTGGGGTTTTCTTTACTGTCGAAATGTACAAGTTTAAAAACGTTACATATAACACGGGGTCGTATATATGTTGCGACAAACTTGTAGGCGTGTTAGAGCACAATATCATCAAGATTAAAATTGCATGAGAACTTTCCCGTAAATGTCGTCATACGCCACTAGCGACGCTTCCCTAATACAAATAATTTCTTTGCGTGCTTTCCTTTAAATGCGCCCCTAGCCGCATACGACGACATTTTCGCGCATGGGTTCCAATATTATTATAATCCGAATGAAGTGTCCGAACTCCCCTGAAAGTCGCAACCTTCTGTTTTGATGCGACCTTCTGTTATATATATAATATTTTTAAACTTGTACATTTCGACTAAAAATGGCATTTAAAAAAAATTTAGCTTTCGGATTAGGCACCTGAATTAGGAAAAATCAAGTATTTGTATAAATACAACAAAAAATTTGCTCCCCAGTGTAATAGTTTAGGTGAAAAATTCTAGCCAAAATGGTGATTTCTTGAAGAGAATATATTTAAAAATATATAAGCTAAGATATTAAGCAAGGTTTGATTTTCAGATTCGGAATATCGTTGAATTTTTATAGAACACCATTGAATACTGTTGTTTCATACATTTTCTGTAATCTATATCATAATCTTAAATAGGCCTCTTTAAAGGTAGTATTGCCTTATTTTATCAAGATGGCATTTTTGAGAAATAAATATATCTTAAATAACAGCCTTCTCGCGACCTTTTTTTCATATTATACAGAAAGAGAAATTGAGCATTTGTATATAAAATACTAGTAGAGTTTTATACACAGATGGTATCATATAGACGAAATTAAGAACAAGGAATTTCGAAAAAACGATAAATTGAAAATATTTGTTCGTGAAATAAAATTTGTTTATTTCTAACAAGCATGGAATATGAATACTAATATGGGCATATAAATTAAATTTGTTAATGATAATCAATCGCAAAAAACGCATAATATATTATATTTCTGGAAAATGAAAATTATTTAATTTGTATTATATTTAGAATATTCTATAGTATTAGAATGATAGAGTAATAAAATGTAGTCAAATTTTTAATTTATACATGTTTAAAAAAATGCTAAGTTTCATTAATTTAAAGTTTGTGTACTCTTCAAATACGTAAAATTTTGAAAATACTCAGAAATTTCTAAATTTTATATAACTTCATTACTTTAAAAAATTATTTAGTTTTTATGTTTAAAAGTTCTATCGGAATTATAAAACATAAAAAGAGGCCCATATAAGAGTTCTTAACTTTTAAAAACTTTTCTTAATCATGTAAAATAATGGATTCAAAAATTATCCTAAATTGTTTATCATTTATTAAATTATCATGATTCAAAAATTGTCTGAAATATTACTAATTGAACTTACTTCCACAAATAAAGACATGCTGCAGTAATAGCTATCACAATAATAGCTATAACAGAAACACCAACAGATACACCAACAACTAAAAAATTGAAAATTAATATGTTTATTAAAAAACGATTAAATTTAACAAACTATGCAACAAACGCAAAAGAATTACTTGCAAAATAAGGAAAAGCTATTTTTAATAACGATTTGGCAAAAAATTGAATTACATAAAAAAAATTTTATTTTTTTATGTGTGACAGAAATAAAATTAATAATGTGTCTTATGTTTTTTCGTTGTTTTCTCTTTTTTAGCTCTCTTTAAAAACATAGTTTTTAAAATTTTCATTATTCTTAACTTGTCTAAACACTTCAGACAACACTTCTGCGAAATTAGAATAATATTTGATTTAAGTTACATATTTGGGATATAATTATATGTTATATGCTATTTTATTTTAGATACTGTTGAAAATTAAATGTGAAACCTAATTAAATTTTCATTTCTTATTTACATTTAAATAAAATAATAAAGCATTACAAAAACTAAGCACTAATCGCATTCATTGCAAAAAATAATTCAAAATTTGTAAAGATTACTTTAAAACTAAATTGTGAACCTGTATTTTACCTTCATTGTCAACTTGGCACCTGGAACCTCCATAATTTCCTCGGCACCTTAAAATGCAAAATATTTATTTAAAAAAAACTTGTTCAAATGCCATTAACAAATCTATTACATACACAAATAAAGAGCAAATAATGTTAATAAATCAAACCGTTGATAAAAGCAAATCATAGAATTAAAGATAATAAGCTAATTGCAAACACAAACTAAGAGCAAACGGTGTTGAAAAATCAGATAACTGGTTAATGCGAATAAGATTCAAATAAATAGTTAAAGAAAACAGATAATTTGTAGGTGAACCTCGGTTAAAGTCCCTTTACGGTCAAGCTAACCGTGGACAGTTCTGTGGTTTGCCTCTACGTGCAACACAAATACATGCTTGTTACAGAACAGAAAGATTCGTCACGAGGCTGAGTTAGTGCTAATAACCAATTAACAGATTTTTAATTTTTCTTTAATGCACTTAATACGCATCGTTAATTCAACCAATCATGTATTGAATAAACCCGCGTGATATTTAACCCGAAATAAATCATATTATTTAAATTCTTAATAAATGTCTTTTATTTAATGCAGAATCATCTAAACTCACGAACGGTACTATTATCTTACAATGGCACTAATTCTTATTCTGGCACTATTTATATCCATAAAATAAACTACTATTATTTTTTAATTGTTCTTTATTGAATGCTTACCTGCATTCTTGACGCCCTTGAACTACAACACATTGACCTTTGCCATTACAATAATCGGGAGAACAAGCTATAAAAAGAACAATAGGCTAATTAATATCATTTTGGTATTCAGTGTAATATCCAAGTTTCATTTTTATCTTATGCGCCATTTTCAATATACTAGAAAAATAAGTTACATTCATAACTTATTCATCTTTACAATTTTTATATTCTAACAACTTAGTTTATTGTACAACGTAAAGTAAAAATTCAAATCCGTAGTTACAGATATGTAATGTTGTACATAACTGTAGATATTGGAGGCTGCCTACATTTTTTTTAAAAATCCATCCGTCATTCCTAAGCCTAGAAATGTTAACCCTAGAATTAGAATATTCTAGGGTTAACAGTAGAAAGAAATGTAACAACTTATTGTTACATTTCTTTCTGTTATGTTAAAGATTCTGCCTTATAACAAGAGAAACAAATTGCGGGTTCAGTGAAACAAAAATAAAAAGTTTGGAATAGGTTAAAATACTTTTTTTTCTTCCTGGGTATTAGAATTTAGCTAATAACGTGTTTTAATGTTCGTAAAATACGTTGAACTCCTATGAAGCATACGAGTGAAACTGGGTTTTTTTATCTTCTAATTGGAATTAAAGTTATTTATAACCGTAATGAGTACTAAATTTTGTTGAATGCCTTAAACTTGACTGGAAAAAAAATCTATTAAATTAGTTTTTTATTTCGTTGAGATGCAAATACTCTATGTCTGTAAGATGCTCAAACTCATTTAAGTTTGAAGGAAATTTAAAAGTCTTTCAAAATTCCAGAAATCACAAAATAAAAAGATTTTTTTCCTTTTAACTAAATTGAACTTCTTAATATAAAAAATAATTTAGATTTTTTTTTCTTTCAAAAATTTAAATGTAAGCACTCTATGGTTATATAACATTAAAATTTTTATTAAATAAGCTGAACTTCTAAGATATTACTGGCCTGCCAACTGTTACTCTTTTTGTAAAATAAGTTTTAAGTTGGTAAACATTTAAAACGCAGAGCTTTCAAAATTGTTGGTAATCTTACCAACATTTTAAAAACCTTACCGTGAAAGAGCTGGAAACAAAGCGGTGTTGCACTTGAACTTTTAAATCATTTATTTGTAGCGGTGAGAAAAATAAGTTTAAGGGAATAAAAAAATAATAAATTAAAATATTAACTTAGCTACCAACAGAATAAATTTTTACGAAAAGAGTAGAAAGTAGTCAGCTCTGCTATTTGCTTAGAAAAGAAATTTTTAACTTTAAAAATGTATGTAATAATTTAAATTTTTAAGAATTAAGTAATAGCTTGAAGGAAATCAGCAAAATGTGTTAGTTTTTTTTTTTTGAATGCATGTAATTTTTAACATTTAGCAAATGGTTAAAATATAGTTTACTTTAATTAAAATTTCTAATTTCTATTTGTCAATTAGATTTTTATTTTCAATTGTGCCTGAAGCACTGTTCCATGTTTTCCACTTGCGGTAGTCTAAAAAAGAAAGAAAATAATTAGAAATCACATTTGACAAAATGAAATCTCAAAATTCACTTACCGGAACAAACTCTACCCTCATTCTTTGGATCTCCTTTGTATTTGTCTGTGTAGCCAGGTTTGCATTTGCATTGGAACGAGCCGAAAAGATTGTCGCACAAAGCATGTTCAGAACAATCATTCAGAACCTTGTCCTTGCACTCGTTGAGATCTGGAAGATAAAATTATTCTAGAATGTTGTTTGAGAATTCCAGCTTAAGGCATTGCATGAAATTTCAGTTCCGTACTAGCCAGACTAAAAAGTTTCGCTCGTCATTATTTTCACGAAATCTGTGAACCATTTTTAAAATTTCGACAGTTGTAAGTTGAATAACTTTTTTGGTGGCCGAAAACTATAAAATGGAGAAACTGAAAATTGTGAAATAGTGTAAAATGTTATTATAAGAAAAAAAGTATGGTCAAATTTACAGTATTTCTGGCTCTATGGGAACACCAAAAAGAACGGTAGTTTTTTCCGAAGTGTTTAGGTAATAATTTCGTAAAATTATGAATACAATATGGTATTATAGCATGTGATATAATTTCGTAAATTAAATTTGCTTTTCAGTTTTGTATTTTTTACTAAATATGTGGTAAAAAAGAGACATAATTTTGAAAACAAGAATTTTTGGTAAACTATGTCACCATATAAGCGGAAAAATTACCAAGTGAATCACTTAAATACCGTTTAATTTATAATTATTTAATAGACCAAAATATTTAAATAACTATGATAATTTTATATTTATTTAAAAAAATTATCTTATTAACCAGTTTTTTTTCTTCCTTTTGGCCGGAAATGTCATTATCGTACAGTACGGTAAATGTTACCAGAATTTTTCTCCGTGGATAGTATGGATCAAATTTGAAAAACTCGTTGAACAATCTTTATAGAACTCTTGTTAAACGCTGTTAACTTCTCTAATATCTTAATCCATAACAATGAAGCGAACTCGAATTCTGTTCAATTCTGATAACACAACATTCACTTGCTTATTAAAGAGATTTGGGATTTATTTCATGAATAGTTTCGTTATATCCTCGATCCCAAATTCAAGAGTAGGGAAAGGTGGAAGGCCAAGGGTGTCAAAAACATGCAGAATTGTTAACACAGCTGATGACATAGATTTGAGTCTTCTTTTGTGATATATATATTTGCGCATGTTTTATTAATCTTCCTCTTAAAGTCTTCTCGCCATTTTTAATATTTGTCGACAGAAAACTCTGGGAAAAGAACATTATTTTACAAGACTAAACTTACTCTCCAAAATTGAATATTTGGTCGCCAATGGTAAGCTGGTGAGTGAAAATTTAGCTCTTTGGTTTGGAAAAAAATTTATTCTTTAACATTATCATTCTAATTGAAAACTATTAATGTAATTGCAAAAAATAAATAAATATCGATGCTTGTAAAACGTCCTCGAAATTTTTATGTAAATCAAAGAATAGATAATATAAAGCATGTAAAAGGCATTTTTCTCGAGTCTATATTTTTCAAACTTTTTATGTGCAATTTGAGACTAGGACTATGGACGATAATCAAAATTTTCTTTCACGATTTTGTGAATAGAATATTATTAAACCATTATTTTACGATTTTGATTTCATTTACTAGTTAACTTTAACCTATATATACACTAATGGGATAAAAGCGACGGTCTTTGAAAACAGCACTTGAGCAGTCACGCACTGCACTACCACAATTTAGACTGGAGAGCAAATAATGGTGCCACGCTCTCCCCCTCGTAATCTTACGTGGACATTACCAGCTCTGAGACCTTCGAGGATTTTACATTAGTTTCTATTTCGAACAACTATTATGACACCATTGGCGAAATACAATGTGATAACTGCAAGTGACGTAGTGTGGGTATCTTGATCCTGATTGGTTGTTGAAACGTGGCATTTGTTTACGTTAGCAGCTGCTCTTTCCATTTTTTTTTTCAAGTAATCCAAGCCAGTCAAGTATCAATTCTCTTAAATGACACATTCTGTATTCTTTTACAAAGGTACTTTCACAAGGATTTCAATTCTTCCACAACATATTTCTTACTTAACACAAAGACAGGCATGAAGTAATGTAGAACATAAATAAATGTATCGAAAATTATGTATCGAAGATGCTTGGTACACAAAGCAAAAATATATCACTGTTACAATAAAAAACAAATAATAAATCAAAGTTTTTTACAGGGTTCCCACTTATTTCAGAAAAAAAATTCTCTGATTTTTCCAGGTATTTCAGGCAAATTTCAATGAAAATTCATACCATATTTTATCGATACTGCGAAATTTTTCATTAAGAAATTTGGATTCTTTTATTTGTTATGCCAAGTATTAGATTTTTTGTGCAAAATAAATATCATTACATGAGGAAGGAAGCATTTCAGTATGTCTAAAATGTAAAATTTATACAATAAATAATTGTAATCGATGTTAGAATTATTTAACTCGAATCTCAATGACTGAGTATTGTTACTGACAATTTTAAGACTGGTTTTTTACCAGGAATAATGAAGGAATTTTCCAGGTTTTTGTAAGACTATTGTAACTTTCCCTGACTATTCCCTGATTTTTGGAGTTAAAATAAAATTCCCTGACAATTCCAGGTTTTCCCTGTTCTCCCTGACCCGTGGGAACCCTGAGTTAAGTAAAGGATGTAGAAGAATTATATTTCAACAAATGCTATGTGCGATACGGCTATGTATTTAATTAACTTCGCATTAATAAAAATCCTAACTTATGGAGAGAAACATAGATCAATTTATCACGCCATTTTGCTCATAAACGATAAGCTGCCTCTGACGTCATAAGTCACATGTTTGGGTGACATTTGTGATCTTCTTCTTGAAGTGCAAACAGCCAATTCGAATCAGCCTTTAACAAGAAAAATCGAACACAGGAATCTGAAATGTGAAAACATTACCCATCATACCGACTCAGGGGTTTCCAACTTACATGAGGCCGGGTGCCACAATTAAAAACACCAGTCAAATGGCGGGACGCAACTTTGTAAAAATTTTATATAGGACTCTTTCATGTTTGAAGGAGCATTAAATATTACTGGCAGATTTTTATCAAGTTGTTCAAAACAAAAGTATTGAATTACAAATAATAATAAATACTTTCTTGAATAAATATTTTCTTAAATGCAATGCCTGAGAAATAAATTTTTCTGTTATGTTAAATTTATGTTTATGTTAATTAATTAAATTTATAATTTTGTTAAAAATATGTTTGTATATTAAATTTCACAGAAACGAAGATTTTTTTTTTTTTAACGAAGGGAAAGTATTTTAAACCCATATTGATTTTTTACGAAAATTTTCCGCGAAAAAACGACAACAAATATATTTTAGTTTGCGGGCCGTAAAAAAAAGGCTTCGCTGGCCAGATGCAGCCCACGGACCGCCAGTTGGTAACCACTGGACTAGACGGATATCTTTTTTCGCGTAGATCTTTTCCAAGTAACAATATTTATGATAGCAGCGTAGAATTAAATTAATTAATATCTTTGTTATATGATATTTAATACCAAGCAGAGAATTTCAAAGGCTACGTGTTTTGGTACAATTAAGTACTGTTATCAAAAGTATTGCTTCAAACAAAGACTCTTTTCTTCTTATGCAAATGTATGGTTTATACCAAATTATAAGAAGAACTTATGAAATCTTTAATTGTATACTAAACGCTGTTTTTAACTACCAGAACAAAATTACGTTAGAAATAAAGTTTGTTTTGTGGTAGCTAAATAAATAATAGTTCAGTTTTTTTATTGATTTGCCTATTTTATTTATGTATGTTACTGTGAATGACCGAAATTGGTGGCTGTTGACTTCCACCGGTGAATGTTGACAATCACATAGTCTCTTTGGTAAATGTCCTAAATATATACTATGCCACTGCCCGGTATGCCCTACATCAATGTTTTTTTAAGTTCGAGGGCCACTGCCCAGTTTGCATTTAACCGGTACTCCGAACACTGATGTTTCTCCCAATCTATCCTCAGCAGATATTAAATATCGAATAAGTATAATAACATCAACGAATAAATTAATATCAAATCGGATATGACAAATATTTCGGACATTCACCAAAACGACTATGTGGTTGTTGACATTCACCGGTGAAAGTCGACATTTTCTAGATTTCGGTCATTCAGGTAACATATATACTTTTTCAAAAAATAGAAAAGGGTTTTTTTGTTCATTTTCTAGAGTGATACATTTCTAAATTTCATAAATATTTATTCAACGAAAAGTTTTAAGTATTTTTATGTTTCTTAAACTAAGCAGCATCTTTGATCAAAATGTGTATTTCTCTAAAATACACTGCCCTTTGTATAAGTTTTTGCTTAAAATGACATTTAAAATTTTAAAAAAAGCTCTTTTCTTTCAGGGTTGAAAATTTAATTTAAAAAAGTTTTCAAAATCACTTAACTCGTCACATCTCATTAATGTCTGATCAATAAATAAATAATGGGTTGCCATTTTTGTTTGCAATCGTTGCTTTATAAATTTTGAAACATTACCATTAAATAAAGTTTTTGCTGCATAAATATATTAGTTTAGCCACATACGAAATACAATGATTTCTCTTATTGAGAATATGTAATCGTGCCTTCATAACATACATTTTCTCTCGTTATTTTGTTCTCTTATAAGCAATGAATGTGCAATTCAGAGTTGCACACACAAATATTTTTTTCTATAATAAATTATCTATATACATGAATCTTAGCTTTCAGAAAAACTTTTTACTAGGTATGAGACTGTAAAAAGATACGAGTGCAATTTAGTGTTGCACACGCATGTAGTTTTTTATAAAATATGATCAGCATAGATGAATCTATAGGTATAGCAAACAGTTTTTATTTTGGATTTGGGATAAATATGTAGCAGAATATGTACAAATTAATGTTGCAGATATGCATACTTTTCATAATATATGATTTGTATTTCTGAATCTATGTGTATTAAGTTGCAGTAGCTTTAAAGCCCAGTTATTTCTTGTCGGGATGGCTTGCACTATCTGCTTGAACCTTTGTACATTTATAGTTTTGAACACAAAAGACAACGAAATACTTGAGTCCTGTACATTGAGTATGTATGAAATACATATGTACTATTGGCAATAACTATCTTACTTTCCTTTTTTTCTTCTTTCTGTATATTAAGTAGGGACGTGATGTTTATTTGTGATTTTTCTGAATGCGTATACGCTTGGTTTTGGCAAAGAAATATGCTTTCAAGTAGATTCTTGAAAATTATTTTTTTTTGCAGCTAGTTCATGAATTTTGTATTAATTTTACTTGTATTTTGTTTTTGTATTTTATATTCTCTTTTTCTCTTTTCTTGAACTTCTTGCAAAGCCTTTGGGGTACAGAGAGTGCAAATTTTAAACCTTTGTCGGGCTCACTCGATAGAAAAGGCTTTGTACTATTTTTATGACTTTCGGGGCTAGTATCCCCTGACGACGTCATTTTCGGTTGTCATTATTATATTTTTCATTGTTCTCATCTTTGTTTACAATTTGCTTTTGGTTTCAATTTTCTTGTAGAATTTCTGCTGCATTGCGAAGCTTTGCTTTGAAATTGTAGTTTTAAGCTGTTTTTTACATTATTTTTTTTTATTTATACTATCTACAAATGGGTTGGCAAGTAAGCCTCGATCAACACGAATTTTCGTGCAAAATAGTTTTCAACACTCTTCAGTGAATTGGACGGCAAGAACGAAGTAAATCTTCTTAAATTTTTGATTTTCAAATTTATCATAGAAATCACGAGCAGATTATTCAGCTATTCCATACACAATGCAAATGTCTAAAGTCTAGAGCGAAACATCCTTTTCCGAATGATCTAAAACCTAGGTTCCCAAACTTTTTTTAATTTTTTGACTCACTACTCACTTTTAAAGACATATATTATTCAATACCCCTTAAAAATAATTTACAAATGTTTATTGAATATATTTAAAGAAAAAAAAACATTTTTTCCTTCTTTATTTCGATATGGTAAATTCCTATTCCTACCGCTACTTTATTGAAAATTCCTACCAACCAATGCTTTTCTATTGGAATTTTTTTTAGGAAATGTTTCATGAAAACAGTCCTTACAAAAAAAAATATTTGTTTTCTGCAAACTTCTAAACTGTTTATAACATTTGAATAATTACTCGCAAACAAATTATTTTAAAAATTCAAAAATATTGAAAAATTAAAAAAAAATTAAGAATTGAAAAGATGTGTCTGACTTTTAAAAAACGAAAGAAAAAATTAATCTGAAGCTTCCGAGTTTTAAAAAAAAGTACGCAGAACAACTATAAAAGTGTTATTTTACTTACGTGTATATTTGATTAATAATAATTTTCACAATAAATCGCTGAACTAATAATTCCTTTAATATCATTTAATTTACACAGAGTTAAATATGTATTGCGTGCTGTATAAAATTATTAATTTCAAAATGTACTCAAAATTTAAAAAAAAAATTATTCCTTGTGTGTGTGTGGGGGGGGGGTAAGTTCTTGCATTTAAAATTGTAAATCAGGGGTTTCCAACTTACATGAGGCCGGGGACCGCAATTAAAATACCAGTCAAATGGCGGGCCGCAATTTTATCAAAATTTTATATAGGACTCTTTTATGCTTAAAGGGACATTAAATCTACAACTTGATAAAAATCTGACAGTAATCTGTCAGATTTTTATCAAGTTGTACAAAACAAACATATTGAATTGAATTACAAATTAAAATAAGAAGTAGATTTTTAAGCAACACACAGGATTAATTTTGCATTTAAATAAATATTTTCTTGGATGCAAAACCTGATAAATAATTTTTTTTTTCACTGTTGGAATGTTAAATTTCACAGAAACTACGAAATTAGGTTTTTTTTTTAATGAAAGAAAAGCATTTTAAACTTATATAGATTTTTAACGAAAATTGTCCGCAAAAAATGACAACTAATATATTTTAGTTCGCGGGCCACAGAAAAAGGTTTCGCGGGCCGCCAGTTGGTAACCACTGTTCTAAATAATATGAGCCCATGAAATTCTTCAAGCACCACTGAAGTTCGATTGCCCCCAGGACCTAAAGCATTTTGCCAGAGACATTCAGTGACAATGGGCATTTTTAAGTTTAAAAAAAAAAATAATAATAGTGAAAACTTAGTTGCTAACCCAGTACACATGCAACTATTTGTCATTCAGTCCCTGAACACAGATCAGAAACGGCACGGAATGGTTGACGTGTAAAGCGAAGCGCAGATGGCGCTGAGGGTCAAATTTCGCCGTAGAACTTTTGGGTTACTATTTCCGACTGAGTTTTACGCCTAAGCTGGAAAAAAAACTCGCTATCCAATTTTATTATACTTGTAGTGTTTTCAGTATAACGCGTTTTTTCAGTTTAACTTCCAACGAAACAAACAACAAATGAATTCGGAAGATTCCTTAAGCTTGCTATGATACTACCCAAAAAATAACGAACGGCACTATTTTACACAAATACAGCCGAATAAGGGATAACACTAAAAAAAAGGCAAACATTACACTTTATTTATGCTGTGATATTAATTTTGTTAATTTTTTTTTAGGCTCGAGACCTGTTAGAATTTATAAATTACAGAAAAATCTTATGAATGATAAAATTAAACTCAAATTTAAACACAAATCACAATAATAAAACTTCCTGGAATATTAAGCATGTTCACACATCGCTTCGTAAACATAACATAAGCGGAGGGATAGACCGGATGTTTTCTAAATTTCTTCGTGTTTTAAGAAGCTTTTTTTCTTCTTTTCTATAACCGTCGTTGAACAGCCGACCCAATTCCTTGGGTTTACGACTACTAATGTTCAACTCCGTAGTCTTGTAATTTTGAACTCAATCCAGAAGGTAAAGGAACTCCTGGATCAAGTATTGGGAGAAATTTGCCTTCATGAATGGACCTTACCAGCATTTTCTTTACATAGAGAGGATGACCACGAGAACCTCCCACGGTTAGCCTGATAGCAAGGGAACTCTAACCCATGATCCGTCTACCACAGAGGATATTTCACGTCAGCACTGTGGTTGGTGCTAGCCGGATGCGGAAATCGTATTGATTGGGATTCGAAACCGGTTCGCCTCATTGGAAGGCGAACTCTCTATCCCCTGAGCCAACGCGGCTTGTTATTGCTTACATTCAGTCAACCATCCACGTGCGCTAACAGTTTCAGCAGAAGTTATAGTTGATTGAACGTATAATATATTTGATATACCTTCGACTTCCACAAGAGCGCTTAAGGGTCCGTTCACGTAGAGTTGACTTGTTCCTAATCTGTTTTCTCTCCTGCTGATGGCAGTGGCTACGGCATGTTCAACATGATGCCTCAGGGATCCTCTAACCTCTGATTCTGACAGGTGGACAGTGCTGTTGATGACCATTCGATTGGCGATGAAGTAGATACGATTCAGGATTGCTCCCCTGTAGGCATCTGAAAGTGGACTGTAGCCGAATAAAGTAGAGACCTGAAGAGAAAAGAATGGTCGAACACAGAATGATATAAAAATGGATAGACCTCATATGTGATTTTAGACAATGACAAAAAATGCACAACCATATTAATGTATAAAAGACATAATGGTATCGAAAAGAAAAAACGATATTATAAGTCGGATATAACAAATTACAAATTTAAAATTGTAAAAAAAAAGAAAAACTTACATGCAAGTTTAAATTTTTAAAATAAAAATAAATAAAAAAGACGAGAAAAAATTTAAAGCGAAAATCGCTTAGCATTCAAAATAAATATTAAACAAATACGAAAAATTCTTCACTTTGTATTGACAATAACGTGAACTATTAAAATCAAGACAAAAACATGCTTGTTGATATCCATTACTTGGGGCAATCTTTAATTAATTATTAAATCTTTTGTTTTCATAAAATCGAAATGCTAGAAATACGAGATAAAATTTAAAAAAATCGGACTGTTTATATTTTATGAGAGTAAAGAAGAATACTTTTTCATGCTTTCACAGTACGATTGATTACAAAGACATAAAAAAAAAAATTTAAATCATTTCAAAAACGCCAATCATGTCACTTCCTTTTCAAAAGGCAAAACTATAGAGGAAAGTTGCCTAAATCTTTTCTCATTTAAATCTTCATCAGTCACAAATTACTAACATTTGAAATATAATATTAATAAAATGTAGTTATTCAGCTAGTTATATAACGTTTTGTATAATAATATTTGTGTAGTTGAATGAAATTATTTTCGCCATGTCTAGAGATGGGATGATATCGCTATCTCTGTAAATATATATATATATAT